TAGTATGCTTGGTTTTGGTAGCCAATACTTTTTTTTTTGCATTTCATATATATACGTTCTAGTCATATAAAATAAAAATTTGGTTTTGTATATATTTATCGATTCACATAGACTTTGTTTTTCTGTTTCTATGTAATATCAATATTGCGAAACGAATATAAACATATTGTAATTTGATTGGTTAATTGTCACGGGTAATCACGGGTAGATCTATAAAAATTAATCAATCAAATAAATGTCCTCCGCCCTAGACTCATAAAATTGTAATATAAATACGTACCTCCAGGCGTAATTATTTTTCAAAATTAAATTTGTAACTCTTACCAATTTACGTATATATATTTACGTATAATATAACTAAAAAATTATGTGCAGCATTAAAGACATGGTATTTTGTCATGTGCGTGGCGAGTCTCCGGCCAAAAGGTTTACTTTTGCAATTAAAATTGATGGACTCACATTTATTACGGATCTTAAAGAAAGAATATGGTCTAAAAAAAGAAACGCTTTAGCAAACGTTAATGTTAGCCAACTCCGATTATGGAGAGTTAACATCCCTGTTAACGATGAAAATAAAATGAATATGTTAGACACATCTCGCACAAATATTAACGTTAAAGAAGAACTAGATGGAATAGAAATGTGCCCAGTAGATCCTATTTCTAAATATTTTGACGAACAATACACTGGACCCTCCGTAGAGAACACATGTATAAATATCATTGTGGATATAAATAATAAAGGTATAGTATCTCATTGAATAGTTGAGAATCATTTGTAGCTTTGTATATAATTTATTGTCATTTATTGTCATTTATATAGGGCCAGTCAATTGGAATAACAATAAATCAATTTTTACTTGGTTACAAAATTTGAAACGTTCGAATGGAATAATAAAACAAAAGGTTCGATTTTCATATTTACGCTCTATTTTTACTCTTCCTGATCACACTAATTGATAAACCTTATTAGTTAGTGGATACATATGGTGCTAAGTTCCCTTTACAGGGTCGAGATGAGACGATAGAAAATTTATTTAGAGGGACTTTTGTGACAAATGGAATTTGCGACAGGTTTAAACAACGTAATACAACGGACAGAAACAATCACCCTATTCCTATTTTGGTTAATGGCCCAGGTGCTGGAAAAAGTCGATTCCTTCAGGAACTGCCAACCTTATTGTGTAATCATGTCCAGAAATATACAGAGGATAATTCCCTTATAAATTCAATTAAAAACCGGATGTTCTCTATTAATGTCACCTATGGTAATGATACCGCTGCATCAGAAGAGGATGTGCGTATTGGTGAAACGTCAGTTGCACTAAGAATGCTTTATGAACATTTCATTGTCGGAGGATCATATGATTATAAAACATTTATAAGAGAGTGGGGTAAATCTCAACTATCAATCAGTACTGCACTTGATATTATTCTCATGGATGTCGATGCTGATAAGAACGATGATTATAAAACCAATTTCATTATTATTGGAATTGACGAACTAAATATCTTACATAATTTGTATAGAAAAGATTCAAATTCACATAATCCTGTTCAGTTAATTGTATATGCAGTTAATTGTATATGCAGTTGGAAGTTTAAATTGCAATGGTGGAAATAGATTTTACGTACCCGTCCTAGCCGGAACTATTCAAGGTCCCCTGGAAGAAATGGCTAGAGGATCAACATATCTTCACTTATACTTACCACTACGTCTTCTTCGAGATGAAGAAGTTTGGAATATTAGTAAAAATATTGCAGATACTGAAAATCTAGCAGAATACATCAATAGAAGTATTTTCCGTCGATGTATTGGTGATCTTGGCGGTCAAGTTCGGGCTCTAGAAATATTTTATATCGAATTATTGAAACAAGTAGAGTGTCAAACTAACTATATAGATTATATACATATAATGTTAAATGTTAAGGATGAACTAATACAAAGATATCCATTTAAAAGATTCGCAAATATGATAACACCAGCCATTATACGTGCCATTCTTAACATTCCTGTAAGATCGTATGAGAATGCTAGCAACAATGGACAGTTAACTTATACTGATCTTTCATCACATGGTATTTTAAATTTGGAACCAACACGTGATGGCTTCTATGTTCGTATGCCATACATGTGGGTGTGGATATTAACATCATTCAATGACATATCGGGTAATTTTTAGAAGGTTATGATTGATCAAAATCCGCATGTTTACTGGCAAGAGTTTGAAGATTTTAACATGCGATTCTGGACTTTACGTCTTCGGCTTCTATCTTTCTTAAATGAACCAATAACAATACAAGAGCTTTTTAGGGGTGCATTTAATTTCGGATATTATTCAGAATGCATATTTCATCTCCCAACTGTAGACTCCATTCAATATCAACAACTTAATTTTCAATATCCTACCACGGAGCAGAATTTACGCATATCACCCGGCATAGTGTATAAGAATGGTGCTGGTGCTCCATGGGATCTCTTTTTTGTTCTAGACGATTGCATTTTTACCATCCAGATCAAATCTTCAGAAGTCATTGATGAGAGGATGTTAAATACTGAATACAATAAAGTTAAGAATGCATTCAATATATTGCAAAATTCATTTGAAGGAGAATTCGTTATTAAGAACTGGGTCCTCTTAATATGTACAAATGGATCAAGAACAGTAAATTCTTTGAATTCATTACAAAAAAATTGCTTCATCGTAGATTGTGAAAATTTTAAGGATTTTTACGGTTATACATTTTCCAGTCGTGCTGCGTTTTCTGCAGGTATGGATCATAATTCGTGTTTTAAGATATTTTTATACTATTATATAACCTTTTACATTTTTTTACATAGCTAATGACACAATAGATGTTAACACTGCAGAGGTTTATGAATTAAAAACGATTACAGGAATAGGGGAGGAAACTGCGAAAGATATATATAATAAAAGACCATATTGCGATGAAAATGATCTATATAGTAAGGTGAAGATCAAATCTGAGTCAAAAAAAAAGATTAAGGTCATAAAACAAGCATAGTTCGAAGCATAGTTCAAAGAAATTAATGATGAGAATCTTACTGTATAAGCAAATGCTAGGTTTATTGTAAAAGAAGTTCAGAGTTTAATACCTGAATTCACTTTCAATATAATTTGAGATTGTCCAATAAATAGTCGGTATATTTTGCTTTCTAAGTAAAGTCTGTGGGCAATAAAATCGTTTTTAGATTCTTTTGCACAGTGAATATTGGCACTATTCTAAAGCTATGAATGGTTTTTGCGACGAGTTTTTGTTAGTAAAACATTGTGCTACCGATTCGGATTCGACAGATCCTATAAATCATGGATCCGGATCGGATCCGATCGGATCTTGCGGAACACTATTAGACATCCTCCGAAAATGGGGACGTCTAATGAGGAGTCAACTTATATTTCTTAATGATTTACTTGATTAACTTTAGGGTTAGGGCCCCTTTAGGTTAGGGTTAGGATAGGATTAAGGTATTTATGCTGTATAAGTAAAATTGCCTTCTCGACATTTTTTGTTAATGCACAAAAGTGGGTTTAGACTATCGTTTTTTTCTATTTTTGCGTTTTAGTTTTGTTTCTTATTTCTACACGTAATTTGATTGACTCCATTTTAGACGACCCCGAAAATGGCCAGCATTATGCAGAATTATGCAGATCACGACGATTATTCCAGAAAAAAAAAATGAAAATATGAAAAATATAGAAAGCAACAGTATAAAATTTTAATTGACGTAATTTTACGTATAATAACAGCACTAATTCTAATAGAAACACCTTAATCCTAATTTTATTTAGATAAATAATTCTTGCCCATATATTTTGTACTGACCATGCTGTTGTCACTATCTAATACATCTAGTGTCACATGATTGTATTCTATTTCCATCAATTCATTATCGATATTTGTCAGTTATTTTTAGAGTACGTACGTAGTGCGTACAATTTGGTAAGAAAATGAACCTTTTTTTTATGATGATAAATGCAGGTGTGCTAATTATTATATGAAAGTAAAATGGAAGTTTTTCCATGCAGATTTTATATGCCGAATTAAAGATTTTCCGCTTTGAATAATAATTGATTTTGACCAAATTCTATTTTGATTCCATTGGTGACCCATGTAGAATCCTATTTTACATAAATACAAATGGTTACAGATATATATTTGCAAATTGGATATTAATAATTAGAATAATATACGCATATACGGTAACAACGAAATGTTGGAATTAATGGCGTATCTTTTGTGTGATATTTGATGTTATCAATGCTAAAATCATATACCTATACTAAGATATGTTTGAATGTGTCAATAACCAAGCAGATTGCGTATGACATGTTACTTGCATGCAGTGTTAAACTGTTATACAGTAAAATTTACGATAAATAGTTTAAATTATAACTATTTTTGCCATATGAAGTTTGATACGGCCTAAAACGGCCAACACTTTTGCATGTGTTGTTTCATTTGCTTAATTAGGGACAATACGTATATTGTATTTACGTTTATTAGTGGTGAATGATGAGACAAAGAGAAAGTGCAGTTGCACTCAATGAATACTCGTGAAAAAAAAGAAACAGTATCGATGTGCTTGATTTTATTTCCATAATCAATTGTTTTATAATTATTACTACTTATACAAGGGGCACTTATTTATTAAATAGTAATCCCATTTACAGAGTAATATTTATTACGAACTTATTATATCTGGATTACTCAAGCTAATTATTGAATGGATGGCAAGTTTACTATTTATTATTTACTGGACTCAGCACGGACCAACGACATACATGATGCGTAATTAAATTTAGTCTGGTAAATAAACTTGAAAGCACGAAGTCTGGTTTTTTGACGTCACTCAAATAATAATTACCACTAGAATTTGGGGCCGAATTTAAATACGAATTGCTAAAATCGACATCCAGTTTTATTCTGCATATATTTCATTGATTGGTTAAAGTTGAAAATAATAGAAACCAGCACCAAGTATCGGTAAATCCGAGGAAATCCGATGACCGCGTCCAGACTCTATTTATCACCTTTCTAATTGTGATTAAAGTTAATTAAATGCAAGTATGCATAGATATCATGGATATATGTCATTTATTATCTGCATATCCTTGAAAAGCATGAATGCTACGTGCAATACTTGTTATTAATAAGGATATTAACAAAAATTGTTAAGAGTTTCATTTTTTAAGAAATTTAAGATTTCACATTGTAAGTATAATCTTATTCAAAATAAAACTCGAATCACATATTTATGTAGCATTCAATTTGTTTATTACATTGCTTTATTATAATAAATATTGAGCAAATCATTAATTTTTATGCTTCGTGCTATATATGTCGTATAATAACCATTAGCAATATTTCGATAGTCTTGCATCTTGTATACAAAAGCGAAACAAAAATATCTCAAATTAGGTGGCTCACCAAAAATATCTCAAATTAGGTGGCTCACCAAAAATATCTCAAATTAGGTGGCTCACCAAAAATATCTCAAATTAGGT